GTCAGTGAATGGAGTTTAGAGGCTATTTCTGGCAAAGAGTGAGGTGGATGAAAAATGCAGCGGTGGGAGGTGTCAGGGGCACTTGGGGAGGAAACCTGAGCTGGGGTGCCAGGGAAGAAGGGCTGGTGTTGGGGCTGAGGAGTGGCTGGGCCAGAGCAGCCCTGCCTCGCAGGCCAGCAGAGTGAGGCCTTGGCAGCTGGGAGGGGAGCTGGTGGGAGAGGAATGTCCCTCCTCCTGGCACCTGTCCCTAGGCTTGTTGACCTTTGACCCATCCCACAAACACTCTAGGAGACGAAAGCAAGGAGGGAAGCTTCCTTAGTGCCCACCAGGTAGCTGTCCCTAAAATAGAGACATTAGTAACAAACTATTGAGTGCTTGCCATGTGCCAGGCACTGTTCTAAGTGTTAACAAGGATCAGCTTAAGCCTCACAACTGTATGAAATAAGCATGGCTATTAGCCCCATTCTATAGGTGGGGAATCTGGGCTCAGAGAGGTCAAGTGATTTGCCTAAGGACACACAGCATTTGCGTGATGGGTGCCTGCCTGTAAGGAGGTAGAGCATCTGGGTGCCTGTAAACATGGACAGTCTGGGCTCAGAGGCAAGGAATGGTCAGGACACACCATGCTGGGGGAGGCAGAGGTGGATGGAAATCCAGTCACCTTGAGAAGGGAGGGTGGGAATCTGGAAAAGATTTGATCTGAGCCTTGAAGGATGTGTGCAATTTGGACAAGATGAAATGTGCAGGGAAAGGTTTTTCCAGCAGGAGGGACTAATACAGGCAAGTGCAGGGGACATTTGGGATAGAGGAAGCAGTCTGGGAGGGGGCCTCTGCCAGTGCTCTGTGGGTCACAAGGCCACAAGCAGTGGGCTTAGGGTGGTACTAATGTGCCCTGAAAGTGCCTTGAGGCCTGGAATCCCCAGGATTTGTCAGGATGGCCAAGGGGTGACTGACTCCTACTCCCTCGTGTAGTTTCACCTGTTTGAGGGGAAAGCCTGGCAGCCCCGGGACCCAGAGACACGACGGGAGGCTGTGGAGGAGCAGGAAGACCCGCTCATCTCGGACCTTCATGGAGGAGCCCACTGCAGTCCGGGTGGCTGTGGATGGGCAGGAAGCCGGCCGTTCCTTCCCGTGAGCTGAAAGAGAATGGCCTCTGTGTGAGCACAACAAAAAGGCTTTTCTGCCAAGTCAGAGGCAGAGGAAGTGGCTAGCCTGGTCCCTGCCCCAGACTGAAAGGGGGCTCTGTTGGTGGCCCTGGGGTCTTCGATGCCTAGAATGTGTGGGGAGGGAAGGCCAGGGTGGGCAGGAGCCTCCTCATCCTGTCTCAATTCTCCAGCAGCACCAGGGTGGGATGGGGCTGTGCTGTGCTGTGCAACTCAATAATCCTGGCGTGGCCATTCCCTAGCTGTGTGACCTTGGCCAAGTCACTCTGCCTCTTTGAGCCCAGCTTTTCTCATAAACAAAACGTAAGTGGGGGCAGCATGCAAGTTGACTAGGCAATGTGGCCAGCATTTTACACCCCCCCAGGCCCTCTACCCTCCCAGCAGCCTGCGAGGAACATTAGGTCATCCCCTCCATTGGGGTCTAAGCATCAGGGCTGAAGCCTAGGACGTTTTAGACTCTAAAACTCCAACGTGTGCAAACACAGAGGAAAACAGGCTGGAAGAAAACACGCCGAGCTGTATTTAGCATAATTGTCAGTGAATGGAGTTTAGAGGCTATTTCTGGCAAAGAGTGAGGTGGATGAAAAATGCAGCGGTGGGAGGTGTCAGGGGCACTTGGGGAGGAAACCTGAGCTGGGGTGCCAGGGAAGAAGGGCTGGTGTTGGGGCTGAGGAGTGGCTGGGCCAGAGCAGCCCTGCCTCGCAGGCCAGCAGAGTGAGGCCTTGGCAGCTGGGAGGGGAGCTGGTGGGAGAGGAATGTCCCTCCTCCTGGCACCTGTCCCTAGGCTTGTTGACCTTTGACCCATCCCACAAACACTCTAGGAGACGAAAGCAAGGAGGGAAGCTTCCTTAGTGCCCACCAGGTAGCTGTCCCTAAAATAGAGACATTAGTAACAAACTATTGAGTGCTTGCCATGTGCCAGGCACTGTTCTAAGTGTTAACAAGGATCAGCTTAAGCCTCACAACTGTATGAAATAAGCATGGCTATTAGCCCCATTCTATAGGTGGGGAATCTGGGCTCAGAGAGGTCAAGTGATTTGCCTAAGGACACACAGCATTTGCGTGATGGGTGCCTGCCTGTAAGGAGGTAGAGCATCTGGGTGCCTGTAAACATGGACAGTCTGGGCTCAGAGGCAAGGAATGGTCAGGACACACCATGCTGGGGGAGGCAGAGGTGGATGGAAATCCAGTCACCTTGAGAAGGGAGGGTGGGAATCTGGAAAAGATTTGATCTGAGCCTTGAAGGATGTGTGCAATTTGGACAAGATGAAATGTGCAGGGAAAGGTTTTTCCAGCAGGAGGGACTAATACAGGCAAGTGCAGGGGACATTTGGGATAGAGGAAGCAGTCTGGGAGGGGGCCTCTGCCAGTGCTCTGTGGGTCACAAGGCCACAAGCAGTGGGCTTAGGGTGGTACTAATGTGCCCTGAAAGTGCCTTGAGGCCTGGAATCCCCAGGATTTGTCAGGATGGCCAAGGGGTGACTGACTCCTACTCCCTCGTGTAGTTTCACCTGTTTGAGGGGAAAGCCTGGCAGCCCCGGGACCCAGAGACACGACGGGAGGCTGTGGAGGAGCAGGAAGACCCGCTCATCTCGGACCTTCATGGAGGAGCCCACTGCAGTCCGGGTGGCTGTGGATGGGCAGGAAGCCGGCCGTTCCTTCCCGTGAGCTGAAAGAGAATGGCCTCTGTGTGAGCACAACAAAAAGGCTTTTCTGCCAAGTCAGAGGCAGAGGAAGTGGCTAGCCTGGTCCCTGCCCCAGACTGAAAGGGGGCTCTGTTGGTGGCCCTGGGGTCTTCGATGCCTAGAATGTGTGGGGAGGGAAGGCCAGGGTGGGCAGGAGCCTCCTCATCCTGTCTCAATTCTCCAGCAGCACCAGGGTGGGATGGGGCTGTGCTGTGCTGTGCAACTCAATAATCCTGGCGTGGCCATTCCCTAGCTGTGTGACCTTGGCCAAGTCACTCTGCCTCTTTGAGCCCAGCTTTTCTCATAAACAAAACGTAAGTGGGGGCAGCATGCAAGTTGACTAGGCAATGTGGCCAGCATTTTACACCCCCCCAGGCCCTCTACCCTCCCAGCAGCCTGCGAGGAACATTAGGTCATCCCCTCCATTGGGGTCTAAGCATCAGGGCTGAAGCCTAGGACGTTTTAGACTCTAAAACTCCAACGTGTGCAAACACAGAGGAAAACAGGCTGGAAGAAAACACGCCGAGCTGTATGAACCCTAGCTGGGGGAATTAAGGTGACATATTTTTCTTCTTTTTCTTTACTTTTCCAAGTGTTTTACTTGGGAATTAGCAAAATATAAAGGAACGAAAGGTGCTAAAGGAGTGGGAGGTGTCGGGGCCCAAGCTGAGTTTAGGTTACAGCCACATTCAGCCAAACACTAATTCAAAGGTGCAGGCTCCCATTTGATCCTGGGGAGGCAGGTGTCCAGCTGGGCTGCAGGGCTCTCTGCGGGTGGGGGAGGCAGGGCTGCGGTGCCCTACCAGCCCTCAGAGAACTTCACATATCTGGGCCCCAGAGGTAAGAATAACGAGGCTCTTGAGCTGACCTGTTCCTTCAGCCACTGGACTTCTCTGAAATTTTACCAGAGAGCTTGGCAATCTCCTGAGCAGTTTTCTGGGGAGCTAAGGTCCCTGCCAAGTCTTCCCTCTGGCTGGGCTCTGAGGAAGAGCTCAGTGAGGGGCCTTTCATCTCTCCATTCTCCTCCATGCAGTTCCACACTGCCATCCACTAGCCAGGTGACCTCTGGGCTTCTGGGTGACCCTAAAGCTATAGGCAGAAGGCAGCCCTGGGTGGGGGCCCGTGGCTCCTGCCACAGGGAAGCTGACAAGATGGTGTCTGCCAGGACCCTCATGTGACCCGCCTAGGTCCCTGTGGTGGAGAGAGCTCACAGGCCGTTTCCTAGCTGCGCCTAAGAGGCCTTTGGGGCTTCCGAAGGCCAACATTTCCTACTCTTCTCAGCCAGCTTTCAACACAAAGAGAGGAAAGGGTGGGATCGAGGGGGGCTGGGGCTGGGGTATGCAGCTGCAGGGGAGGGTGGGGCCTGGAACAGGGTGAGGGACCCTGCCCAAGCAATTGCAGAGACCCTGCCTGCTCCATGGTTGGGCTGGGACTATGGCCAATCATTGCATTCCTGGGGGTGCAGGCCAGTACCCAATAGGCGTGGCCCAGAGGACAGACTCTCTGGGGTCCAAGGCTCTTCTGCCATACCCAGGCCCATGCGCAATGTCTCCTTCTCTGTCCCATCCCAGTCCGCTGCTCTCCTGGGCATCACATGCACCCTGCCCAGGGTGAGATGCTCTGCTTCTTCAAAGATGAAAGGGGAGATCGTGGGTGCCCCCCACACCCTCTGAGCAGACCATGTGGGGAGGGGAAGTTTTGGGACCCAAAGTGGCATGGTTTTTCATCTTTTCATCCTGTCCAAGCTGGGCTTCGGGCTGCCCAGAACTCAGTCTGGACAGGTGGGAGGGCTGAGTGGCCTGGCCTGGTTTTCTCACTCCTTTCAGACACCAGGGAGTGTGGGAAGCTGCGTTGCCCTTTCTCACCATGAAAGAATGGCAAATAAATTCCCCATTCTTCTGCCCCTCCCCAGCAGGGCCACCCCTAGTCCTCTACCTCACCCTTCTCCAATCTTCTGAGGGCAGCTACTTCTCAACTCTTCCCCTGAGCTCTACCTCTTCCACGGCCAATGGGAAGGAGCCCCACAGAACTAGGAATGAGGTCTCTTTGGCGTTGCGGGGTGAGTCCCTTAATCCCAGCCTGGACTCCACCTTGTCATCTCCAGCACCGCTAGCTGAAAGCTCTGGCCCCAGGCCCTTTACAAAGGTCACACTTGCCGGCCATATGATTTAATCAGTGCAGTTATTTACAGAAAGAAACATATGGGGGTAGACACTGACTCCCCACCCACCTTGGCTGGCTCTGAGGATGGAGGGGGTTGGAAGCTGCTAGACCTGTGTTCAGGGCCAGACCCATGAGAATCCCCTCCCTCCAGGGGCCCTGGGGATTCTGGGTGGTGGACCCTTGCTCAGGCCTGCGCAGAGGCAGAGGGGACAGAGCCGGCTGTACAGTACCATTTCCCACAGCAGCCTCTCCTTCTGCTTACTTTGGGAAGGAAAAAGAGGAAGTATCTCTGTCCTCAGGGCTAAGCTCTGGAGGAGGGGAGTCTCCAGGCCACAATGGGATCCCACTGTGTCTGTGGGGTGGGAGGGACAATCTGCTGGCTTTTCCCCACGTGTCCCTCCTCCCAGTGCCCTGGGGGACAGGGAGCTGGAGGGGAGGAACCCCCAGGCACATGTCTGTGGATATCCACTACCCCAGCCTAGGCACCCATCAGCCTCCTCTCTCCCTGGGACAGCTGGGACAGTGGCGGCTGCACCCTGAGGCTGGAGCAGTGCTGAGGCTCCTGGGGACAGCGGTGTGGGTGAGAGAGGCTGGAGGAAGCCGAGGGAAGGGGCCCAGGTGGGTCACTGCTCAGAGAGGAGAAAGTGGACAGGGGCGAGCAGCCCAGCCTGAGGGCGAGGCTCTCCGGGGGAGGGACCTTGGCAGACCCCCTTTGGTCCTTGCTAAGGCAGGCACAGGGCTCCTTCTCCACAGAGGGAAGGAGGTGTGGGCTCAAGGGGTACACGGTAAATGGGGGCTGAGGACCCCTTGGCTGACCAGGAACGCAGGGCCCAGGTTGCTGGGACTGTCAGAGGTGGGCCGGGAAGGAACAAAACTCAACACAGACTCACGGCCCTGAGCGCCCCCCTGCTTCGATATGTCCCCTCCAGCCTGGGGGGTGCTCCTGGGCAAAAGCTCTTCCTAAGGCAGGGGGAGATCGGGTGGGTGGAAGCCAGTCAGGCCCCACCAGCCTCCAAGGCTGAAGGAGCCTGAGGTCCTGGCCAGAGCTCAGGCTGAGGGGTCCCAGGGCATGAGCCTCAGCAGCCCTTCAGGAACTCTTCCCCGGGGCCTTCTGACCCTCTGCTCCTCCAGCCGTGGCCAAGCCAGAGGTGGGTGGGGCCCAATTCCCTGTCTGGAGCAGAACTGCCTTTAGAAAGCTCTAACCCCTGCCCTGAGGAACCACCTCTGGTCAGGAAAGTAGAAAGAATGCTCAATTAGTGTGCAAAAAAAGATACCTGGGCATAAATAAACAACGGGGAAAGGGCTGGCGGGGATGCCAGAGGGCCTGGAGGTGCCCCCGCCCAGGGTTTAGGGAGCGGAGGAAGGCTCTTGCTGGGTGCCCTAGGAGGCATCTCAGAATCACAGGCGCTGCCACCCTGCCCGTAGCACCGTGGGGAGCAGGAAGGGCTGTGCAGGGTCAGACCCACTCCTGCAGAGAGCGTTTGCAGTAGAGGAGCATGCGGGGTGCGCCCTTGCGTTGCATGTGCACCAGGGCGTAGGCGAGGCCCAGGATGCCAAGCAGCAGCAGAAGTGGGGGCACCAGTGCCACCACCACATTCACCGTCCTCGCGACCTCCTCCACCTGCACCACCACGCGGCTGCCCTCGTCTGTGCCGGCCCCAAAGTCCCCCTCTCCGCCACCCGGGCCGACTTCACGGCCCTCCTCGCCCTCCTGGCTGTCGCTGCCTGCCCCAGGCTCTGCACCCGCGTCAGGGTTGAAGGGCGGACGGGCCACGTCGGGCCATCGGGGTCCCGGCTCCATGTGCTCCTGGCAGCCCATGAAGTCCCGCAGGATGGACTTGGGGTAGCCGGGTTCCATTCGCAGGCGCTCGTTGTCAAACTTCCAGTACTTGGTGCCCTTGTAAAAGTAGGTGTAGGCTGCGGGGGCAAGCAGGAAGCAGTGGTGTCAGGCTGTGACCCACCCGTGGGCCGCAGACTTTGAAGAAGGGGCTGGGCTTTCACACAGCCTCCTTACTTGCTTTTCTGAGCATTTTCAGATCTGCCCCTTCCCTTTACAGGAGCCAGGCCAGGCTCAGAGAGGGGTGGGGATTGTGTCAGGGCATGGCTAGAATCCTGTGCTTTCTGGCTGGGCTGATCCTGAATGGGGAAAACGGGTCCTATAGCTTGCTGGGTCGGGGCTGCAGTCAGGCGACCCTGCTACCCCATCCCAGAACTGGCTTTCCACACCAGAAAGACCAGTGTCTTGCTCAAGGCCACACAGCCAGCCTGCAGAGGACCTGGAGCAGAGCCCAACACTGCCTTGGACCAGCTCTGTGGCCTTGGGCACTTTGCCCACATCCCATCAGGCCCAGGAAGGCCAGGTTTGAACCACGGGATGAGTCTATACTCAGCTCAGCACAGGGATCAGAGCAGAAGCAGAGTGACACCATCACACACAGAAGCCCTGTGACCTGCCTGAGTACTGGCAAAGCCAGCAGGCACTCCCCTGAGCCTGAGAACCTAGAACCAGAGGACCAGGGCTAATGGTTTTCCTTAAACCCCCAGAGGCCCTGCTGCTGCAGTAAAAACCACAGCTCCCCCTCGTGCCGTTATAATGATGGAGATCAGGCTTCCTCCCACACTGGGTACTCAAGCTCCCTGGTTTACTTTGCTCATCTGTAAAAAGGAACAGTGGTGATAATAGAGAGATGCTCCAGAGAGTTAGGCTCTGGAAGTTCCAGCCAAGGGCCTGACACAGATATGGCCCCAGACATACAGTGCACATGCTGGGAGACTCAGCAAGCCTGTCCCCTGCTGAAGGAGGGGGGGTGGTGAGTGGTGAGCAGATTGGAGATGGCTGGCCCTGGTACCTGCATCGTGGCTCAGGAAGGCCCCTCTGGGGGAGGCGGGGATTCCCTGCCAGACACTGATGGGCTTGGGGTAGCCGGGGTCTCCACGCTGTGTGTCCTCATTGAAGCGCCAGTACCTGTGATCAAGAGAACCAGGCTGTGGGCCTGCTTGAACCTGCAGCCCATTCTTCCAGACAGTGGGTTCTCCCTGGGTGGGCCTGGACATAGAGGGTCTCAGTTGGGGCCTTCTCCCTTTAAGGGGAGGGGACACTCACCTGTCCTCTTGGAAGAAGAAAGTGTGACCTGTGGGCTCCCACCAGATGGCTGTGTCGATGTGGTCATAGGGGATGCCCAGGCCGTAGTTGGTCAGCGGCTGTGGGTAGCCAGGCTCCAGGTTTGCTTCCCGGAAGAGAAAGTAGTGGTCACCTGCCCAAGGAGGAGGAGGCAGGTGAGGATAGGCCCAGAGGCATTAATGGAAGTGTGCAGGGAGGAGGTGGGAGGAATGCTATTCTGGGCCCACAAATCCATTCACATCCACTGCCACCCTCACCACACACACACACACATACACACACACAGTCATGCTCACACCCTATGCACAGGACAGGCACTGACCCCACACACCCAAGAAAACACATAATACAACTTACCTGTGTGTCACACACACTAGGCACTGATGGATACCTGTGATATGTTCATTTACACACACAAGTCACCCACTCACTATACACGGGCCTACGTTCCCATGTGACCATCCACGTGAACACCCATCCACCCACTGTACAGTTTTTTTACAGAGAGAGAAAAGACGGGGGGCCCTGCCTGACCTCTGGGTCCAGGCACTGTGCTCCTGTGGCACCCCAGTGCACTGCCCAGGCTTTGCACTTTTAGTGTGAAGCTCAGACCAGTGGGGCTGGGCCACACCCAGTCCAGCTGGTGGTGCTGCCCTCGAGGCTCCCCCAGGGAGCCTGGCCTCAGAGGGAGGGCTGGTGGTAGGGAGCTCCACTGACCCTGCAGACAGACCACAGAAACCTCGCCCCAGAGTGGACTCAGGGGACCAGTTCACATGAGGAGGGGCTGAAGGAGGAACAGGAAGGAGGAGGAAGGGAAATGATGCAGACCCCACAGCCCTGCCCTGCTGCCAGGAAGACGCATTCCCCCCAGGATAAGGCCAGAGCAGGCAGCAGGATGAGACTGCATCATAGTCTTTTGCTCCCCTCCTCCCTCAGGCCCTCTGGGTCAGGGACCAGGTCAGAGGTCAGGTCAGGAAGGCTGCCCTGCCCCTCCCACCTACCCCAGCTCACCTTTGAAAAAGACGAAGCGCCCGTCTTGGCGCTCATAGGCAGCATTGATGTCACCGGGCAGACCACGCCAGAAGTGCCCAATGGGCATGGGATAGTTATCCAGGACGCGGTTGTGCCGGACCCGCCAGAACCAGCGGCCCTGGGGAGGGCGTGGGTGTCAGCAGGCAGGACATGCGTGTGAGTGTCCCTCCTCAGGCTAGCCCTTCCTGGGTCAGGGTGGTTCTGGGAGAGGCCATGGAGACCCTGAGGGGTGGCTTAGAAAGCCAGGGTATCACCAGGGAGAGAGCTCTGGGCAAGGTGGGAACCCTGGGCTTACTGTGCAACCCTGGGCAAGTCCCTTGTCCCTTGGGCTGCTTTATTCTTGGTCTAGGGTCTGATGGCTCCCAGGGGCTGCAAAGTGAGGGAGGGATGGGAGTGCCTGAGCAGCCAGGTGGGGCAAGGCTGGGGTTGCTCTCCTGCTCGGAGCTTGGGCCATGGGGCTGGGGGTTGGCATGGGCAGGGGCCAGACCTTGAACACGAACATCTCTCCACGTAGCATAGCCACTGTGTCAAAGTCCCCGTCGCAGATGTTGGGGCCATATTGGTCAGGCCGCTCCGTGGCTCGGGGCTGGGCTGGGGGGCCTGGCTTCGGGGGCCGCTCTGGCTTCCCACCTGGGGGTGGTGGCTGGGGAGGTCTGGGGGGCCGATGGTCTGGTCGGCCTGGCCGCCGGGGAGTCACGGTGGGGAGGGGCCGGGTGGGCTGTGGCTGACCATCTGGGGTGCCTGTAGAGCAGTGGGGAGTAGGAAGTGAATGGGTAGCCCCAGAGCCCAGCCAGGATACCAGGTTCTCCTCCTCAGAATCCTGGGACCCCAGGGCCCCCTGCCAGGAGACATGTGCCCAGCAGCAGGCCTGCCCAGGTATAATAAGGTCCAGTCTGTCCATAGCAGACCCCTCCCCCACACCTGCCATCACCCTCAGGAGGACCTCCATCTTCCTTGGCCTCCCCACACTGGGTGTGGGTCACTGTGGCCCTGAGGCTACCCTTGCCTCCACTTCCCCTTGGGCACATTCCCTTCAGGATGCCTGCTTTAGTGGAGCCATCAGGAAGCAGTGGACACCTGCAGAAGAACATGGCTCTGAACTCTGCCGAGTGCCTATATCATTACTAGTTCACTGGAACACAGTGAGGGAGCATCTGTCATGTGCCCAGCAAGGCAGGTGTCACCAGCCCTGATGAGAGCATCAGTGTGGGCACTGAGCTCAGGCCTGACCCACTGAACTAGTCCTCAGGTCTCACCACTGGAAGCTTTCTCAGGTGAGGCCTGGGCTGGCTGGGGGGCAGGGTGAGGAGTGCTACCTGCCTCCAAGCCACTGGGAAGTGATAAACCAACAAGAATCAGCGGAGAGCCTGGACAGACTTGCGCTGGGACTGATAGTGCGAGGATGGGGCCTGGTACACCCAGGGCTTCCTCAAGAGAATATCACTGAGGCTAAGGAGGAAAGGTGGGCCAGTGAGAGGCTCTGGCCACCTGTGTTCACATGAGGGTCCCAGCTTCAGGGAGGGCCAGGCCTGGGTTTAATTTCTAGCACCATCATTTACTCATTGAATGTGGACAAGTCACTAATCATCTCTGGGTCTCTGTTTCCTCATCTACAAAATAGGGTTAGCTGTAGTACCAACTCCTAGGGCTGGGAGCCGAGAGCAGGCGCGCAGAGTCCACAGGCTGCGCCCATGTGCTGCCCATAATGCAGAGCCCACCGCTGTCCACCCTGCCTGCTCACCATAGAGCTGCTGGATGCCCCGGAGGTCATCCTCGGGCAGCTGGAAGTTGTCGGTGTCCATCCACTGGTAGAATGGGGCCATGATGGCGCTGGGGTTGCTCGAGTGCTCCAGCCCCAGTGCATGGCCCAGCTCGTGCACTGCTACCAGGAAGAGGCTGTTCCCTGTGGTGGGGGCAGACAGTACAGTCAGCTCTGGTCAGGCCCGAAAGCTGGCCACTCCAGACCCTGTGAGCAAGAGAGCTTGCCCTTGCTTCACTCTTAGAAGAGGCTGAGCTGCTCTGACTGCTGGGCCTCCAACCTCCCCCTCCAAGAAATGGGTACAACGATCCCTTCCCATCCCTACTGCTCCTTGGAGATCGTAGGACTGCAGGCTGAGATCAAGTGTCAGTGCTCTGGAGAACTGTATAGTGGAAGCTCTCCCCTCATAACCCTGCAGCTGCCCAAATGGCTCTGAGGACCACGCCCAGCTCAGTTCTGCCTCCCCTCCCCCTGCCCGGGCCAGCTGTTCTCACCATGCAGGTCAGTGCTGGAGAAGGTCCAGGGCTCGTCTGCATCAAAATGGGTATCCCCGCCCAGACCAGGGCCAGGGAAATAGGCATGGGCCAGAAAGCCACCTGTGCCATCGAATGGTGAGCTGTCGCCATGGAAGCCAGAGGCAAAGAGTACCATGATGTCAGCCTCCTTCTGCCTCCGCAGCCGGATGTCCTCGTAGGGCACCTCCTGGAAGAGCAGGGGCGTGGCCTGCTCCCACACGCGGAAGGCCCTGCGCACCGCCTCCAGCGAGTGGTACCAGCCCAGCTTCTCTGTATAGTTCTGGATGCTGCAGGCGGGGGCGGGGTATGTGTGAGCCCAGGGCCTGGGGCTGCTGGCCACCGGGCTGGGGGTGGGACACATGGCTCAAGGAGCATGCATAAGATCTGAGCTCATTCACAGACAATGCCCATCATTATCAGCTGTCAGTCTACTTCGATGTGAATTTAAAAAAGAGAACTTAGTGTACCAAACCCAGAAGTTCATTAAGATATCACTAAATAAGGTTGCATTGCACCAAATTAGCTTATTTTACGTAAGAAAAACATTAAGTAAATAAAAATATCAGTGCTAGAAAGCCAACAGAAAGATCTAGAAAGTGGGGTGCAAATGGCTGAGTTTAAGGAACATAGACCAAGTTCCAGGGTCAGGCTGACAAGAGTTCAAGGCCAGGCTCTAACATTATCTATATAACCTTGGGCAAGTGACTTGTCTGTCTGAATTTTAGTTTCTTCATCTGTAAAACGAGCAAGAGAGAGTAGTACTTTCATCAGGGGGTCCCTGTGAGAATTAAATGAATTAACTCACACAAAACATGTGCCGCTGAGCCTGCACATCAGAAAAGCATGATGAGGCCTGTTATTACCCACAGAAACCAGATTAAGCTTGTGTGCTGGGCAGATCTCCATTAATGCTGAGTGGACCACGAATTCACCCTGGGGGCCTGCAGTCTAAGTGGCCCTGGAAGCCACTCATCTTCGGGGGATGGAGCGCAGGTGGGGCTGGGGCTGGACTGGAACAGGAGGAGGATCCCCGGGGACCGCCACGTGGCTGGAGGCTTGTGGGCAGGATTCTTGCTGAAGGACTCACAGAAAGCAAAACGGCTGGACCAGGGTTTTGCAGCTGAGTTGCTACCTGCCCACCTGACAGACGCCTTGTTTCCAGCACCCTAGCCCTCGCCTACCCCTCAGAAGCCTGCAGCTCTGTGCCCTGCACTATAAAGGCCCCAAGTTTATACTGGTACAGGAGCCCATCATGGCGGTGAGGCCAGCCTTGGGCTGCTGGCTGGTGGGGGGTGGGGAGTAAAGGACAGAGCGGAAGCAGCTCTAAGGGTCCTGACCTTCTCTGGAGGAAGATTGCCTAGGGTGTGTGACTGGCCAGTTCCGTCAGCGTGGGAGCATGGTGGGACTGTCTGTGCTGGGCACCCTGGGGTAGGCTGCTGGGAAAGGAAGCCTTCCAGACAAGGCCACTGGGAAATCTGAGGCCTCAGCCCCGGTGAGAGAGGAGTGAGCAGCCTCTGGGAGATGCCCTGGGGGGATGCTGTCCTGGGCAGCAGGTAGCCTACCTGAAGGTCAGGTGGTGGTTGTTCCACTTCCTCCCAGTGAGAGCGTAGCGCTTCCGCCGCCGCCGCAGATTGGCTTTCACATGAACCCCAAACTGGTCCGGCACCCCACAGCGGGGCCGCTTCATCCACCTGGATCATGGCACAGAAGGCTGAGCACAGAGCTTCTTCTCTGCACACTTGCCTGCTCTGGCTCTGCCTCTTCCAGGCAGCCCACCTGCTTCCACCCTCCTGCCTCTGGCCTCCAGCTGCGTCTTATATGGGTGGGGTGGGTGGGCGACTTTCCAAGCTTCAATTTCCTCATCAGAAAAACTGGTGCAATGACCCTGTACTGGAAGACTGGGTGCCCAGCAGTAGCCCCACAAAGGTGAGCTTCTCACCAGTATTGCCCAGGAATGGGAGAATTACATCTGAGGCCTCTTGTCCTTGATATGTTATACTCTGGGCATGTTCAAGGATGTGACTTTGGGTCCCATCACCTCTTTCAGATTCAGAGCAAGGCTGAGCTAGGATATGCCATCCAGGAATGTGTGCTGCTTTTCACCATTCCCATGCCTGCGTCAGACATCACTAATCGCCTATGCTCCCTGCTAAGTAGGATTCTTCCTCAGGAACTTTCTCAACAGCAACCACTTCCAACCAATCCGAACAAGCATGGAGGATCAAAACAGATGTTGTCTCTTATCTAGGCCACACTTTTATGGACACTCTCCGTGCCAAGCCCTCATCAGCACAGGCCATCGGAGGGAGGTGCCTGGGAAGTGGGGTCTGGCAAGGGCCCAGTCAGGGGACTCACGCCTTGGTCTCTTCATCAAGCACACCCGTAATGGGAATCCCATAGAAGCGCTGCATCTCGGCGAGGGCTGAGGCCAGGATCTGGGCAGAGCGCATGGTAGACATGTGGCGGCTGGGCTGGGGCAGGTAGCCGTAGAGCCGCAGCCAGTTCTGCAAAGGAGAGGCCACAACCCGGTCAGCAGAGCCTGGCACACAACTACCTCTAAGCACACACAGGCTGCATCCAACCACTGCTCACCGCCTCCACCACCGTCACCCCACTGGAGGTGCCAGAGGGACTGTGAGCCTCTGTCCTCTCTTGGTCTGTTCTCATACAAGAGCCAGAGCAAAAGTGTTTACAAGTCATGTCTGCTCAGTCCTCTGCCTATAACTCACCAAAGACCTCCCATCATAGAGGAAAAGCCAGTTTTCACAGGAGCTGCCAGGCCCTTGCTACCTGCCCCCACCTGGGCACTCAACCTCATTCCTCCCATCCACCCCTCGGGGTGTGCTCTTGTTTCAGGCCTTTGCATGTGTTTCTGCTGCCTGAGTGCTCTCCCCCAGACCTGTATGGCTTACACCCCCATTTTCTTCATCTCTGCTGCAACCTCACCTCACTTGAGGGGTGTTCTCTGACAGCTCTTAGGTGTTTATTGTTTATCTTCCCTCATCAGGATAGAAACTGTGTCCCTGAGGAAAGTCCACAGAGGCTGTCCTTATTACTGCACTGGCCCTCCAGGATGGGCACCCCCCACCACTCCTAGCAGACCACTAGGGACCCTCAGGGGTTCAGAACCTCCTGAGGCCTCACCAAGTGGGAAAACCAGCACTGTGGCATGCTCTCCCACAGACCCTATGCCCCTGGGAGGAGAACAGGCAGATTCAACAGCCCACCCAGGCCCGAGAGAGTGGGACAGGAGACCCGACATCCAGCCCCCACTTTTCCACAAACTGGGCCTGAGTTCACTCCGGACCTGAGTCTCCTCATCTGCAAAACAGGGAACAGTGGGGTTGAGAGGGAGAGAGATTTGAGAGGGATAGCCCTGGGGAAAGCAGTAGGCGCACTGTGGGGCACCTCTCTCCTTCCAGAGCTTTCTGGGCAAGTCTTATCCATCTATCCATACACCCGTCTATCTGTCCATCTACCAGTCCACCCACTCTGCCATGTGTTTCTAAGCATGCAATCTGGCCAGGCACCATGCCAGCTGGAGGCTGTGGAGGACCATGGCCTAGGTGTCCTGACCTCCTGGAGCTTAGTCTCCCTGGGGGGCACACTGCACCGAGAGTGAGGACTTTACACCTGTAAGTCTGTGCCCAGACATAACTGGTGAAGTGGCAGCTGGAGGATGGGATGCCCAGTGAGCCCAGCTGAGTTGTGGTAAGAAAGGGGATTCCACCCTGCCTACCTTACACCCCAAGGCCCGAGCGCATGGTGACCACTACAAGAGGCTGATGAGCATAAAGGCTAGGGACTGCTGTGGCCCTTGGCCACATGGAAGCATGTTGTTTGCACCTTTCCCGGCCCACCCTGGTCTCTGGGGGTACCCAAAGTGAGGGGACCTGAAAGCCTGCTCTCTGAGAGGCTCTGGAAGCTAAGGGCTCCATATCAAAGTCCCACAAGGCAAGATGGTGGCCAGATATGGTGGTTGTTCTGGACTGACAACCATGTGCCGGCTGGCCAGGGCCACACATACACATCTGTCTGCCACCAGTGACACATCCAACTCCTCAGGTACTTGCTCCCTCAGTGCCACCTGCCTGCCTAGCTCTGGCACCTAGTCAGCCCTGGAGTGGATGGGCTGCCCACATGGCCCAGATCAGTGCCCAGGCTGTTGCTGGGGGGAGTGGGTGCTGAACCCAAGAGAGCAGCATGGAGAAACTGCCAGGGCCAGAGATGGACACCCAGCCACAGCTCCCAGGCCTCTCAGGGCCCAGCGATCCAGCCACAGGACAATGAGGCAGAGACACAGAGCTGAGAAACAACTGTCAGCTCTGCGGACAAATCCTGCCCTGCCACTTCTGAGTGTGGCTGCATGCGTCCCTGGGCCTCAGTCTGCTGTCAGTAAGGTGGGTGGGGGGTTGTACCAAGACCTGCCTCATGTCATGGGTTTCTGTGAGGATGACCCTGGGAGTCCACACAAGTTCTCAGCACTGCGCTGGGCAGAGCCAAGTGCTCAATAAATGTTTTATTAATGACAGAGGCTAGGGGCCTGTCTGGTTGTCCTTGGAGCAGCAGCCTTTCGCCTCTACAAACAAAGGTCCAATAGGGCCTGGGTGCCAGGCAGCCTCAGGAGAAGGCAGGGCATCCGGGGGCAGCGGGAGTCCCCTGTGGCCTCCTCTTCTGACCCTCCACAGCACCACCAGACATGTCCTGGGCACCCTCCCTGTTCTGAATCCTGAGCATGGGAAACCTCTCCTGAAGCTGTGTGTATACAAGGGTTGGGGAAGCCCACTACCGTACTGGACTCAGTTTTCCTGAAGAAGCTTGGAGAGATCTAGAAGGCAAGGCCATGACGCTCAGCCAGCTCTAACAGCAGAAGGAATCCAGCGGCGTTTGGGGGAGAGGCTGTATGCTGACAGATGAGGGCACCTCTACATCATCTATTTGCATAAGGTAAAAATATCTCCGGGAACGCAATCACAGGCCACCAAGGGGCTGATTAGCGGTGTCTGCAGTGACAGGAGGAGGGCCACGCAGGGGAGGCTCAGGCTGGGGCCCTGGGGAGGAGGGGGAGGAAGGCTGGGCCCGTCCGCAGTGAAGAGCCCCAGAGCCCAGCCAAGCGGATGAGGCAGCAGGGCCCTTCCCTCCAGGGCAGCCCGGGCACTGACGGGAACTCCCCACAGGGGTCCGTGGACCTTGCTTCACACAGACAAGCACCCTCTGAGTCCCCAGGGAGCCAAGAGCTTCTGTCTTGGCACCAGCCAAGCCTTGAACCCTCAGCCTCCTGGTGACAAGTGGCTTGAGGTCACTGCCAGGGCGAGGAGCCCAGGTTGAGGATCAATGGCATGGGGTGAGGTAAGCAGATGCTCCATCTTGGCCCAGAGTAGCTGAGCCCCGGATGACAAGGTGAAGAAGCTGATGGAGCCTGCCTGACTCTGGCCAAGTTGTGTGGGGCTGAAGGCCAAGTGCCAATCCATCTACCCCAGCCACAGGGCTGTGGGCGTGTCCTTTCCCCCCATCCAGGAGGAAGTTTCTCACCATACTGCTGCTGTGCTAAGTGTGACAAGCCCAGGTGGTAGGACGTGGAGGGAAAAGATGGCAGGGGACAGGAGTACACCGGTGCGTGGCAGAGCCTGCTGCCTCCCAGTGAGGAAGGGCTGCTAGTGTCCCTGAGCCCCAGCTTGCCCAAGGTTGTGACCAGCTGCCCAGTCTCACAGTGGGGGAGGGGCTGGGTTGAAGCCCCTGCTGCTACTACTGGTGACTGTAGAGACTGTTGCTTACTCAAGGTCCCCCCTTTTCCTCCCTGTCATCTAGAGTCTTACAGGTGGGGAGAGCCGAGCAGGTGATGCTTTGTTTCTCAGAATGGGGAAACTGAGCCTTGGGGAGGTCAGGAAGCAATAGAGTAAAAACCTCCTCTATTCAAACCACTGTCCAGTGGGAGGCAGGGAAAGTTCTGGAGAGAGCTCTGGGGCTGTGAGGCCCCCTCCTATCCTGACCAGGGCAAGATAAGTATGTATAGATGCTTCAAGTGAGTGGCTGTCCCCAGGTAAGGAGATGTGGGGCCAGTGGGAGTCTGAGGGGGATTCCTGGCACCCTGGACCCCAGGAGAGGCCAAACAGCAGCAGCTGAGGGTTGAGAGTCTGCCAGGGGCCAGGCCATCTACTCTCATCATCCCACTCAGTGCCATCATAGATGGTGAGGTTCAGAGAGGGTGAGCAGCCCAGCCAAGTCACACAGCTGGCCTGGCTAGAACCAAGCCCATAAGCAGTGCTTTTGGACCAGACCGCTGTGAAGCAGCATTGGCTCTCTTGGCCTGAGGCTGCAGACCCCGGGCTCTGGCCCCTCTCAGGAAGAGTTTCCAGCACAGCACTGGGAGAGGGTGTCTAATCTTCCCCATCCCCCACATCTCTGGCTGGGTCTGGGCGCTGTGCCATGTCAGCAGGGCTGCCCCCAGGACAGCGGAGACAATGCCAAGGCAGGGAGGGTGTGTCTGAGAAGGCGCCGCCCGATCAATACTGTGCATTAGGCAGCCGGGGCAGGGGACTGGGCTGCCACACAGGCAGCTCCTCCCAGCTCTGACTGGGGGAGCCCCCTACCCACCCCAGGCTTATCAGACTCTGTGCGATATGAGCAATCTCTGCCAGGCTCTCCCTTGCTTCTGTCACCCACAGTTTTCTCTGCAGGCCAAGCAGACCCTGGCAGGGTTGCCCAAGCAGGCACAAAAGGAGTCTTGTCAGAGCTGCCAGCACTGGTTGGACCCAGACTTTTCATGGCATTGCGAGGTCCTCAACACGTCTACCCTGAATCCCTGTGGAGGGCTCTTGGGAGCAAGCCAAGGCCTTGCCGGGCTCTGTACTCCCAGCCATGCGGGCACAGAGCAGGTGCTGAAGGGGGGGAGGTGGAGTCCTGGAGAAGCCGCAGACCCTGCAGGGGCAGAGCCTGCACCCTGGTCCAGGGGGTTTGAGCCAGAAGCCTGTTCATCAGCTAGGTGTCCCCAAGCAAGCCCTAGAATCATCCAGTCTCAGGCTGGAAGGGACCTCAAGGCCATCAAGTCCAGCTTTCTCACTGAAGCCTCCATGGACCACTGCTGGGTCTGTGGCTGTTGTGATGCCTGCACCCCTGCTGAGATGAGGTTCCCAGTGCCACAAGGGAGCCCATCCTGTTTTGGGGCAGCAATGACTGTTAGAAAGCTCCTCCTCAGGCTGAGCAGAAATCTGCCTCCCAGTGACATCTTCCCCTTGGTCCTGACTGCTTGCCTACAAAACAGGCCTTCGAGTAATGGAAGAAGATGGCTAAGACAACTTCTCTGAGCCCCTGTGCCCTCCTTGCAAAATGGGGCCAACATAATTGCTCCCCACTTGCTGCACAGAGATGAGAGCACAGATGACATGACTTTCACCAGAGGTCAGTGAAGAGAGTGGGCACCAAGCCAGGCCACCCCATCTCTGGTGGGTCACTTACTACCTTCAGAGGCAGTTCAGTCCATATTCAAGCTGTTGTAGAAGAATGC